AGCAGGGCAGGTGCCCCCCCTCCCTGGCCGGAAGCAAAGCGACACCCCAACTGCCCAGGAGGGGAGTGGCTGGCAGCTTCTACGGCGGCCAGGGTCCTTTGGGGCCCCAGAAACATCAGTGTCCAAATAAAGGCTCATGACCCGGAAGCCTAAGAAATGGCACAGGGCAATTCAGGCACCGAGGCCTGAGGAGGAAGGGGCAATTCTTAGCAAAACCATCTCGGGATAGTTTTGTGCTTCCTGGGCGGTGTCTGTGGTCCCATGAGACCCTGCTAGGCTCTGCGTGGAGCCAGCTCATTGCGTGGAGTGTCAGCTCATTCAGTCCCTCATTCTCTCCGTGCGGGAACCTGGGGCAAGCGGGGTACCTGCTGGGGGCTCACACTCGGGAGGGGTGCCCATCGGCAGGGGGAGGGGGCACCGGCTAGAAATGCAGACGCATATAAACCGCCAAGTCAGCCCGTGCTAGGAGCCAGGACACCCTGCGCGCCCCAGCTTTGTCGTGCTAGTCTGTGCAGTTTTGCCTGTGGGTCCCAATCCGGCCCAGAAGGCAGGATTCACTCTGGGTAAACAGCTCCTGTTACACATGTAATGATTACCTGGGAAACAGGAGTTGGGGGCAAAGGAAAGGGCGACAAGTGACGGAGGTTCTCCCTGCTGTACAAGAATGTTTCTGTAGGTTTGGGGAAAGAACGGTTTTCTTTGGCAAGAAGGAGAAAAACCGCCTGTAGCCTGCTTTTCTAAGAAGGCGACAGCCCTGGCTGGGGTCTGCCCCTCTGGGTTTGCCCCTCTGGGTTTCCCACTCGGGTTTGGACCACGCACGTGTTCACCTCCTCAGGTGCAGGCCAGAGAGAGCTGGGGGTGGGGGTTATAACCGCGCTGCACCTGTCCCTCCCGCGCCCCCACCAGGCTGCATGCCAGCCCCACTCCAAGGCCTGGGGGAGTGGGCGTCACCCTTCCCCTTGACGCAGAACTGGTCCCATCAGGGTGAACCTAGGAGCGCATGACTGATCACAGGAGGGGGTGTGCCCTCACCCTCCCTAGATGGGAAGGAAGGAACAAGGGACAAAGGGTGGCTCCTGGCACCCCTGCTGTGACTACGAGGGCAGCCAGCCCAAGGCTGAAGCCACCGCCTGGAGAAGGCAGAGCCGGCAGGCGTGCAGAGCGGCCGATCGCACGATCGCACCGTGCCTGGGACCCAGAAGCCTCTGGGAGCCTCAGTGACAAGATGAAATGAACCCTCCTTGTTGCAACCACTTTGAGTTAGATTTTAAGTTTCCTGTAACCGAAGCCTCCTAACGGAGTCAGATCCCTGCTACCGAGCCCGAGTGCACCCCAGGCTCCGGGGGAACCTCCAGTGCACAGTCCCATTCAATGTCACAACAGTCCTGTGACCTGGGAGCTACACAATTTCCCATTTTACAGGCGAGGGCACTGGGACTCAGGGACGCTGGGCAGCGTGCCACGGGTCACACAACCAGGACGCACAGGAGCCAGGAGGTGGGCACGCATCTACTTGGCACCCACCTTTCAACACAGTGTTCCATCTGGAGCGTGGGCACCAGAGCCGTCCGGGGGAGAGAGGGCAGGGGAGAGGGGCCGGCTGGGAACAAAGCTCCCGGTGTTGAGCAGTGTCGTCTAGTCCCCCGACTGCCAAAAGGGCAGTGGCTGACGGGAACGCGCGTGTCCGTGGGGGAGCCAGCATAACGGCACCTTCCACCGATGGAGCGGTAATGAGGCCGCCTGAAAAATGAACCCGTCTTCATAATCCCCGCAGAAACGCATAGAAAGGTTCCATCTGGAGAGTGGAGCCAGTTTCCAGGAGGGAGTGAGGGGAGGCGGGCAAGGTGGGGGGCCAGGGGGTGTCTCTGTTGGCAGCTGTTCAGAGTCCGGGTGCAGCTTCGTGCAAGGAGTCCTTGGAAGAAGCGGGGTTATACCTGTTTAGGGGGCGTTTGAGCAACACGCTGTTCCCAGGCCAGTCCCCACCTGACCGCTGCTGGGGTCTCCGTCAGCTGTTACTTCTGTGACTCACGGGAACTGTCCTGGGACTGTCACCGAGATCCAGCCGCTGGAGCTGCCCCTGACCCAGGCAGGCACCCCACGTACACAAGGCCCCTTGTGGGAGGGACAACCGAGCTGAGACCCCCCCTCCGCGTGGGAGCCGCTGGGACTTGCTGCCGTCGCTCCAGCAGCAGGACATGCAACAGACGCGTGTTCTCTGCTGACACCAGCAGGGTCAAGGGGAGGTCTCGGAGGCACAGGGTGGGTCCTGGGCCCCCAGGGTATGCAGTCAGGTGTCTGGTTGGAAGGGGTCTGGGGGCTTCGCCTGTCATCAGAGGCAGAGAAGGGAGGCCCCGCCTTCTCGAGGGCCTGTGGGGTGACCCCACTTTGGCACACTGCTCTCCCTTGCCTGGTGTTTTCTCACTCACTGTGTGTGTGACTGGAGCCGGGTTTATCGGGCAGGAAGGGGCTCTGAGGAGGTGTCTGGGGGTCTCTTGGCCCAGTTTTAAAGATGAATTTGTTAAATCCTTAGCAGTGAAATCGCACACTACTGGGTGAACCAAATCGGAGTGGAAGTGTGATAAACAGAAGTCCATCTGTGGGGGAAGTAGGACACCTGCTTCGTTCTCGTGGATTTCAGACGGAACCGCTGACGTAATTCCAGTGGCTCCGTGAGGGCTGGACCCCCAGCCAAGCCACGACAGCAGCATATCGGATTCCTTCGTCATACCAGGATCTGGCTTTCATCCAGTGCAGCTGGGACACTTCGGCGACGGTTCACTCGCGGGAGCTTTGGGCCAGAGGTTTGTCATTGTAAGGCTGGCCTGGGTCCAAATGCCCATGGTCACTGAAAACACCAGTGGGGACATGCTTCATGGGAGGGGTTTCCAGGTGTGACTGTGTGGCCAGGCGGCAGGACCGATGGTGACAACAGGGAGCTACTGAGTTTCCATGTCCAGCCTGATGATGGGGGAAGAGGCCAGGGACCAATGGCTGCCGTTGGTGGAGGGTGACATTGGACTCTGGTCAGAAGAGGCGCTGGCTCTCAGGGCTCTGGCCCCTGTGGTCCCAGCTTGGCATGAGCCCAGACCACTGGCCCCTGTGTGGGTACCGTCTCTGGGCAGGGAAGGTACCTGGGTCTGGGGGTACCTCTCCCAGCTTGTAAACTGGGGGCAGTTTGGTACGGACAGAACCTGAGCCCCAATTCCTCATCTCTCACACTGGGGCTACCTGTGCCTGACTCACAGTGTGTCTGTGTGGGTCTGACACACAGTGTGTCTATAAAGAGTGGTTACACCCCTTTCCTCTACCTCCAAGTGGGTGTGAGTGGTGCCACACACATGTCAGGGGCTGTTGGGTCACCCTCGCTGACACAGCACTTCATTGTCACAGCCAGGGCCATGCCCGCCCCGCCGGGTAGGTGTTGGGAGGCAGGTGCCTCTGCGGCAGCCCCAGCCCAGCACCCCGCTCTTAGCCCACAGAGCCAAGTGGGTGACAGGTATGCATTTTCATTTTACAGCAGAAACTCATTTCCAGCTTCTTTTCATGTAGAATTGCTTCTGTGGATGGAAATTCACCAGATTCCTGAAGCCACAGATGACTTTTAATATTATGGGACTTCTCCATTTTTCACTAATTTAATTTCTGGGGCCATTAAAGATAGCCTGAAGAAGCGCCATCTGTTGAGTCGATGATAGACTAGAGAAGAAATTTTAGCAGCAAGACTGTAAATTTCCACTTTATCAGGGAGCTTGCTATCTAAAATCAATTTGGTGAAGCATTGAAATGCTTATCAGGAGAATTTCTCAATCAGGGGCCGCTTCTTGTTCCATTTTTCATTTAGATCAATCAGTGCCTGACATTCTCAGCCCGAGAAGGGCCCTGACACGTGGATGCGAGTGCATTTCAAAACTGCAAGAAAAGCTGCCATCAGAAAACAAACTACTTAAGGGATTTCATTATTTTTATTAATATGCCAACGGTCCTGACATCACTTCATTTCAATGACAACCGGGCACATTCCCGCTGGAAGAGCTTTGTCTCCGAGAGCTGGGAGAAGACCCCCCACGCCTCACGTCTGACCACCTAGAAGAACCTGCTGGTCACAAGTCCAGAGACGGGCTGGGAGGCTCTGCCACCTGGCAGCGCCCCCTCCGAGGACTTTTGACCTGAGAGGACCTGAAGTGACTCCCGGCTTTTGTAAATGGCCTTTGTACAGGCAGACACCCTGGGGAGTGTCTCTCCTTCACCGAGGCCATGTCACCAGTTCTCTTCCCCGGGGCCATGGTCCCCACTTCCTGACCAAGAGCCTCTGAAGCCCCCCTGGACTCCACCTTTGCGCCAAGCACGGGAGCCCACCCTCCCCATCACCCACACCCACCGTCCCCAACGCCCTCTGCCTGGGCCCGCCTTGCCCTCTCCTCTTTGTTTACCCAAATCTTTCCTGTCCTTCCCAAGCAGGCTCACCCGCCTCTTCCAGGAAGCCCCCCCCCCGACACCCATCTCTCTCTGTACCCCAAGGTCCATAAAGCTTCTCTGGCTGAGTCCGTGGCTTCAGCTGGGCACACAGTGGGCAGTGAGGCCAGTGTGTCTTCTTTGATGAATGGAACCTGACAATGCAGGCGGCAAGGTCTGGGGGGCTCCCTGGGCAGGTGACGGTGTGCCCTTCCAGCTGCCGCATTCTGAATGCTCGGAAATTGGTTTTCTCTGGATTTCGGGGACAGTGAGGGGGCAGTTACCAATGGAAGTGGAGAGCAGGGGGCTCCATCTGTCTGCTCCCGACTCTCCCCCACCTGTGAAGGTCAAACCCAGCAGGCTTGGCTCGCTGCAGACCACCCTCCCGGGAAGCACAGGCACTCTTTCCTGCCCAGACGTTTCCAAACGCGAAATGCTGCTTTCTGAAATAAATAGCAGGTGTATGAGGCGGCCCCACGCGGCGCTGAGGACGCACCCCACCCATGAGCATGGGCAGCTGCCCTCATCCTGCAAACGTCCCTCCGCCCGCCCCTCATCTCTGGGCTCCTGACTTTCCACCCCACTTTGAAAGGTTAATGTGTGGAGACGGCTCACTCCCTCAACTCTCATTAGCGCTCTTGTCAGCTAACACTTCCATTATCCGCAATCACCTTCATTTCCAGCTAACACCTTCGTTAGCACTTAACGCCTCTGCCAGGCAGCTTGTCCATGGCTGGGAGTGCCAGCGTGCACAGGTGGCATGGCCGCCAGTAAGAGGCAGGGGGGCTTACAGAGGAGGCGCCGGGGCCAGGGCCCTGGCCGGAGCTGGAAGTCCCCATGGGCCCCTTAGAAGTGGTAACCCCAGGCCTCTGTGAGGCTAGTGTGAGTACCAGGACCTGAAGGCAAACCAACTCCCACTTACGGGGCACTCCCTACGGGGACCCCTCCTGTGGCTGTGACATTGGGGATATTTGGGGCCTGCAGGGCTTGGGGCCTCTGTCTAACTCCTCAGCTCTGCCATTGCAGCGGGAAGCCGGAATGTGTGAGCCAGTGGGCGTGGCCATGTGCCAATAAAACTTTATTGACAAAAACAGACCAGCGCCCAGGAGCTGTTGGCCTAGAGCTATTGAGCCCACGGCCAACGGCAACTCCAAGTCTCCGGAAACCTCACAGCTTGGCCACATGGGTGACCTCTGCAGCGATGTTCCCCGGCTTAGAGAGTCCCCCCTCCAGCTCATTTTCGGGCTGTCACCCAAAGAGGCTCAGAAGTAGGCCTGAGGTAGGGCCCTTGAGCTGTGGTCTGATGCTGCTGCTGCAAGCACGTCCTCCTCCAAGCCTAGTCTCCATAACACGCACGGTTCATTCCCCACACCGACAGAGCAGAGCAGACCCCAGCCAGCCCCCGCAGGTGTCTCAGGAGCCAGCAGGCCGGGCCAAGGCCCCGGTGTGGACAGACCAGCAGAGGTCGGCAAGGCCAGGGAGAGCGTGCGGCCTGGGCCTTCCTACCTGACACCGCGCCTGAGAGCAGAGCGGCCCTGGCGTCGGACAAACTCGTCCCCCCCTGCCAGGTACGTTTGGAGTGTCAGGGCCCACTCTGGGCCATGTGCACCGGAGGAGATGGGGCACCTCGGTCACAGATGATGAACTGCCTGTGACACCTGGAGACAGTACACATAAATCTTTCACATCCAAGGGCCTTGGGTTCCTTTTTTCTAAAAAAAAAAAGGTGTTACCCATGAAAGAGTCCACCCCGGGCTGTGACGCTCAAGTGAGCTCCTGGAATAAGCCCCTGCGAGCTCCTGGGGACTGCATGCGTGGGAGCCCAGCTCCCTCAGCCGAGGGGCCCTAAGAGCCTGTGCGGGGCCACAAGGACACCTCAGCCAGTGGCCTCCGGAAGCACATGGCTCCCTGGGCTCCTCCCTGCTCTGCAGTCATCAGTGGTTCCCACTGGCTCCCAGATGTATCCCCCGCCTCACGGTGGCCTGGAATCTACTGCACAGCCAGGCTCCTTCTCCCCACTGTGCACTTGTCCAGGGTCCCCAACCTTTTTCATGTCACACACATAGAAGACGATAAAAGGTATATGTGACACTGGGGTAAATGGAGGAGGCGGCAGAAACTGGGGTGATGACTGGGGGCTCTGTCCCCTGCCCACCACCCCAGACAGATGAGGACACCAAAGTCTTGGTTCTCCCTTACACTTTGGGTGTGGCATTTGGAAAGCACGGGTGGCCACTCACACTGGCCTTTCGGCTCCAGGGACACACGAAGCAAATTTCCTGACACCAGACATTTCGTAGGTGTGTTTCCTCTATTAAAGATGAGGCTCCACTCACCTTACATGCATACGTGTGTGTATGTGTGACACCTTCAGTTAGACGGGCCTTCTTCATCCCTCAGATTTCAGCCCAAGCACCCCCTCTTTAGAGCATTTTCCTGATCCCCCAACTTCTCTGCACTCTCTCAAAGCACTGCTTCCTGTCCCTCAAGGACTTGCCACACGTAGAACTTTAAAATTAATCAAGGAGAGGACGTCCACCTCTGGCCACATAAAGTTACTGATGCCAGAGCAGCTTCCCGCTGCGAACACCTATGAAATTGGACAGAATGGTGAGGGCCATGGTTTCCAGGCTGGAGCACAGGGGGACCGTACCCCTGAGTGGGGAGAAGCGTGCACTGGGAGTCCCACGGTCACTGGCATTCTGCCTGGGGCATTTCCTGGAGCCCCGCACAGTCCCCTAGGACTCTGTTCATGGGGTTCTCTTTTCCTAGATGATGTGGGGTGACTACTGACACAGAGAAGGGTGGTTTTGCTGCATGAGGGAGGCTGGGATTGGAGTTTGGGGGCAGAGTGCAGGAGAGAGGGAACTGCACAGAGAGCGAGCCTTGGAAGCCCACACAGGGCCCTCGGAAAGCCTTGCTGCACATTTGGGGACATAATCCACATGGTCTACAAGGACAGCTGTTGGAGAGATGCGAGCAGAGCTGATGCTCTGGGTGACACTGTGCTCGGACCCCTAGGAGCTCTGACCAGCATGGATGGAGGGACCCCCTGCAATTCCCAGGCATTGGCCAACAGCCCAAAGAGGCTGTGCCTTAGGAGGAGACTAAACCAGCCCTAGAGAAGGACCACTGTAAACCTCCCTAATAAAGCTTACAACCAGGCCTCAAAAATCAAACTGGCCTGCCAGTGAACCAGGGGCTTGTCAGAACAAAACCCAGCACTCTCTCAAGAAAGACGCCAAAATCCAGACTGTCAGCACCAGAGTATCCACAACGTCCAGCACACTGCAAAAATGACTCTGCGTGCAAATAATCAGGAAAATGTGACTATTAAAGGGTGGGGAGAGAAACAGTTAATAGGGACTCACCCTGAAAAGACCCAGATTTGGAACTCACAGCAAAGGCGCTGAAGCAGCTGATATAAATATATGTGAGCGCTCAGAGAGTTATGGTTGTAAATAATGAATAGATGGGAAGTGTCAACGAACAAATGGAACCTATAAGAGAGAATCAAAAGGAACTTCTAGGATTAAAGAGCTTGCTTCTGCAACGTAGCATTCGCTGGGCGGAGTTAACAGCGGTCTGAAAGAGGCTGGAGAGCCGCTGAACAGGAAGTTGGAGCAACAGGAAGTCTGCTGCCTGAAGAACAGACGGGAAAAGTCTTGAAAATCAAATGAACAGAGCCTGCACCACCAGTGGGAAAAGGCCAAGAGCTCTAACACATGTCTCTCTATGAGAGAAAATGGGCCAGAAACAGGAGGTTGAAGGACTCAGGAGCAGAAATTCCCCAGATTTTGTGAAGAACATAAAACTGACAGATTCAAGAATCTCGGCACACTCCAAGCAGAAGAAACACAAAGAAAACGACTCGTCGGCACAAATATGATCAAACCGCTGAGAGCCACAGAGGAAGAGGAACCCTTGCAAGCAGACTGCCCACCGGGGAGCAACACGGACGATATCCAGCTCCCGACCAGAAGTGATGGGGACACAAAGTGTGCAATTAAAAACACTGCCAACCCAGAATTCTATACCTAGTGACAATGCCCTTCAAAGCTGAGCTTGAGGAAAGGTCTTTACAGACTGAGAGACTCCATCACCTGCACCACAAGAAACAGGTAAGAAGGTTCTTTGGGAAGAAGGAATTGATTCTAGGAAGTTCCCATCTGAACCAGGCAGAAGGAGCACGGGGCAGAATAAATATGTAGGTGACCATAAAGGGCATGCACTTTTTCTTCTCTTAAATTTCTGAAAAGACACCATCTGCCTCCTGAGGGGATACACTGAGAAAGATACAACCACCCTCCTGGGGTGCGCCTGCCAGCATGCACGGCCCCGGTGAATCAACTAGCACATGGACGGCGCACCAGTGACAATGATGGTCCCTGATTTTGGTCATTGCACTGTGACTTTGTGAGAGCCTGTCCTCGTTCTTAAAAGATGCATACTGATGTATTGAGGGCAAAGGGCTCCAACTTATCCTCAAATAGTTCTGAAAAATAGGGCATATCCGTGCGTGTGTGTGTGCGCACGCGCATGTGTGCGTGTGTGCGTGTGTGTATGTGTGTGTGGCGTGCATGGGGGGGGGAGTGGAAGCACCGTGGTGTGCGGGAGCACCTTGTCTGTTCATGCAATTGTCTAACTATAAACTTAAAAGATTTTTAATGTGATCGTTTCAATCAAAGCTAATGATGAAGTTGTTTAATTTGCTTCTCCACTATGCAGTGAGTTCTGGGAAGCAGGGACCCAGCCCAGGGCGGCTTCTCGTCTGTCACAGGGCCTGCATTTGTTGGAGAAATGAGTTCGGTGCTGAGGAAGTTGCCTCACATTCCAGGTGGACCCTGGGAGCCTGGAGGCCTGGTCCCAATTCAGCTGCCCAGCGTCCAAGAGACCCTGCGCCTCTCACTGTGTCCCCCACTCCACTCCTCTATCTCCATCAGCCTCTGTCTGTCTCTCTGTCTCTGTCTGTCCATCTCTCTCTCTCTGTCTCTCTCTGTCTAGAAGACACGCTGCCATCTTGGGGACAGGACACATGACAGGCAGCAGTTGTCATGCACCTTTTTGGAAGACTATCAAAGCATAAGTGAGCCATCAGCAGACTTCTGGCCTCAAAGTTCTAAGTGAGGACAGCTTTACTCCTCGGGACACCAGGTGATCTCAGGGCTGAGCCAGGATGTCACTGCTCCAGGGACATGTATAAGCTGCCCCCAGAGTGTCCCCAGTACTGGCCAGGGGGTTAATCATCACCACGTGCTGCTGACTGGCTTGCGTGCCTGGTGTCTCCAGCGTGGCCGGGAGCCCTCTGGGGGAAGAGACCCCACCACCCATGTCCCTCACAGCCTCCTCCATCCCAGGGACAGTGTCAGGGCTCAGTGACCAGTGCTGTAAGAAGCCAGAGTGGCAGCCCCTGACTTCCTGGGCTGCACATGTTCTCACTCACGACCCCGCCTTTTGCTCGTGCCTGACTGGAAAGGAGGGTGGCCTGAGCGCCCTAAGGCTTTGCTGTGGACCACCAGGTGCCCCGCAGTATTGCCTGGCTCTCCTGTCTGCAGGGCGTTGGTGCCTTCTCTCGTCACCACCCTGGGGACAACTTGGAGCCAGGCCTGAGGAGCACAGGAAGGGCTCTGCAGCAGGCTGAGTCCTGATAGGAGGGGCTGCAGGGACGGGGTGAGGGGGGCTTGGTTCTGTTCAGCCCTTCCTGAGCCATGCAGCCCTGCAGAGCTCGCCTGCCTGTGGCACTGGGGCCCTTGGAATCCCTCGGGCTGACCTGCTGTGCCCAAGGGCAAGTTCCCACCTCTCCCAACCTCCCTCTCCCGTCCACAAAAGACACTCACCACGGGTGGTGGGAGTCAAAGAAAGGAGAGGACTGCAGTGTCATTAGCGCCTCCGCTGGTCATCGAGTGTGGGCGGGGGCAGGACATCTGTGATCTTCTCAGCAAAACGGTGGTGACACCATCACACGCGAGGAGGAAAGGATGAGTCCCTCCAGCAGGCGAGTGTCCCCGCCCTGCTGCTCTGGCCACCTGTCCGCACCACAACACCTGGCCTGGCCTGCAAGGAGCCAGGCAGAGGGGCTGCAGGCGGCCCTGAGCTTCGGGGTCACGGCGACTTAGTAAAACGTTCTCACCTGTTCTCCTGTCAATGTCTTCACTCCTTGGAGGGAAGGCCCCTGTCCTTGGAATCCCGGCTCCAGGCCATCTGGCTGTTGTCGGCTGCAGGGATCGGGGAGGAGGCGGGTGACAAGCAGCTGGCCCGAGGCTGAGGATCGCTCTGGGTCTCCTCTGACTGGTCTTCCCAGGACTACACGGTGCTAATTATTCTAGAGTTGGCTGGAACCCAGGGAGCTGCAGGCAGTGTGACCCCCCAAACACGACACTGGGAAGATGAATGACTCAGGGAGCATCGCTCTTAAATTCTGCTGGGAGAGAAGATTCCAGAATAAAGCTGGAGTCAGGCCCATTTGAGTCCCATCAGGAGGAAAGTCTCTCCAGGGACCCTCTTGTCAGGAAGAAGGATCGGCCCGATTCCAGGATTCCTATCTGAAGAGGGGTCTATCCCCCCACCCCAACTTGGCAATGGGCAGTGGGCACAGGCCAGTGACAGGTGGGTGGCTCTGGGCAGTGTGGCCCCCTGGCTGGAGACACACCTGCCCGTTGGTCTCTAGTACCTGAGAACTAACCACCCATGACCCCACTGACCTTGCACAGACCCCTCACCCCCAGAAGCCTCATGCCTCCACATTTGAGCGCATGGTCATCAGCACGCATCTGGGAAGGGCATGGACCAGCTTCAAGATCGCCACGCCCTGTACCTGCCTCAGAGCAGAGAGCCAGGCGCCTGCGGGGTCCCTCTCCGCCCTTCCAGCTGTGGGATTGGGTTGCGGGGAACTTCTCTCTGTATGTCACCTGTAAAGGAGAACAGCAAGGTGACACCCACCACGCTGGCTGCTTCTCTGGGAGGCAGAGAGTGCTTAGCCCATAACGAGCACGTGGTAAATGGCAGTCATTTCGAGTCAACACCAGTCATAAAAGTAAATGCAAGAGGCGTGGCACGAGCCTTGGCAGCTTGACCAGGGTGATGCCTGGGCCATCTCCAGGTAAATTGAACTGCTGGAGTCCAGTTGGTACTGAAGACCGAGACAAGCCGGAAGTATCTCATGGGCTGGAGGGATGGGACGTCTCAGCGGCATTTGATGATGTGCTAGAGAAAGCTGCGGAGGGACAGGTGAGCGAAGTGAGGGCATAAAGGAGGCTGCGGACCACGGGAGGGCCAGGTGAGGGCCAGGCCCCATGGGCAGCTCAGGCAGGTGCGGGCAAACGGCGAGCAGGCGGGGTCGTGCCCGCCACAGTGGCTGACCCCCCCGTGAGCCGCCTTCCTGGTGTGCAAGGTCTCGGCCACAGTCTCCGGTCCGGCTCTGGCTGACTCCCACACGCCGCCCAGAGTGGGGAGGGCTCCGTGGCCGTGCAGAAGGGATGCCAGCAGCACACATGTCACTCGTCTGTCACCAAGTCCTCAAAAGCATGCTGGTGAAGACCTACTCTGCGCTGGGCAGGAGACAGCCAGAGGCAAGGCACACACAGCCATCCTTACGACCCGACTGACCGCTGGGCCCAGTGCTCTAGGGGACACCGGCCGTGACGCAGGAGGTTTGAATGGTGCTGAAAGCTGACGGCCAGTAGTGGGTCCCCCGTAACTCCATTAGCCCCACGGGGAGCAGGGTGGGCAAGGCCGACTCCCACGGGGCTGGTGGGACCTGCACCCAGGCGCGCCCACTGATGGCCAGGGGCAGGCGTGACCAGGCCCAGGACCCTGGGTGGTACCAGCTGGGCTCGGGAGCTGTCTTCAGGATGTGGACCCTGGTGGCACACGTCAGCATTGTCCGCTGCTTAGGGAGGCACCCGAGCGGGTCCTAGCCAGTTAATGACTTGATTACAGGAAACAACACCCTGATAAGCCGATGCTGTTTCTCAAGGCTGTGGCTGAGAGTTTTCCTTTTATCTTAATTAGTTCTCCGGTGCAAAAAGCACAGTGAGTGACACTCCTTGGGAGCAGCGAGGACCCCATGATAGCCGCTGTGTTCTCAGAATCAGATGCTCTTTCTGCAGGCTCCATCCCTGTTGGCCATGTTCCTGCCGAGAGAGAGAGAGAGAGAGAGAGAGAGAGAGAGAGAGAGCCGGGGCCCTGAGGAGAGGTGAGACCTGGGCTCTAGGTGTCCTACCCCCACCCCTGGGCCCAGGTGGGCCATGTGCCCTCTCGGCTCCTCCCCGGGGCAGCCTTTTCCCTGGGCCTCAGTTCATCACCCAGAAAATGGGCTCCTTTGGATCCCAGTTTCCAGGAACTGTCGGAGGTGACCAGAGCAGCGCCTGCCTCTCCTGGCCTTGCAGCTTCTGAAGGCCGTGTGGTCTGACAGGGGCCAGGGCTCTGACTGCCCAGCGCCTCCTGGCCAGCTCCTTCAAGCCAGGGCTGCGTGGCCTGGGTGCAAACTCTGGGCACCAAGTCATGCTTTCTAAGAGCCAAATCAGACATTCATGATCTATTGGGTTGTCGAAAAAGTCATGACGCATGTTTGCGACAGATGGCACTAGTTCATTTTTGGAAGTACTAGAGTCATTCGCATCTATGTTATTGCTATGTCACTTGACAGCTGATGGTTCTAGCTTCATTCTAAAAAAAATTGAATGATTTGGTTGAGTTTTGGAAATTTTACAGCAAGTTGAAGATGGAAGACCAAGTTGTGCATTTTTGCCATATTTTACTGTTTTATCTCCATAAAGGGAAGAAGGCACGTCAAGCTTGTGAAAAGTTGCATAAAGTTTATGGTGACAATGCTCTACAAGAACGTCAGTGCCAATGATGGCTCATGAAATTCCGTGCTGGTGATTTTGATCTCAATGACGCTCCTCAGTCAGGGAGGCCCACCGAGGTTGATGACAACAAAATAAAGGCATTGATCGAGTCAAACCCATGTTACACAACACAAGAGATTGCAGAAGCATTGAACATCCATCATTCAAGCATTCATGACCACCTAAAGAAGCTGGGATACGTTAGCAAGCTCGATATTTGGGTTCCGCATGAACTCAAAGAAGTTCATTTGACGGCGCGTATAAACATCTGCAATATGCTCATTAAACGTGAGGAAAACGATCCTTTTTTTGAAGCGACTGATAACTGGTGATGAGAAGTGGACTGTTTACAACAATGTGGTGTGCGCAAACGGTCTTGGTCCCGACGTGATGATTCGCCTCAAACAACATCGAAAGCAAACATTCATCGGAGGAAGGTTATGCTCTCAGTGTGGTGGAATTTTAAAGGTGTGTTTTTCGAGCTTGTACCAAGAAACCAAACAATCAATTCGAATGTGTACTGTCGGCAACTGGACAGTTTGAATGAATCCATCATCCAGAAACATCCAGAGTTTATTAATTGTAAAGGAGTTGTGTTCCATCACGACAACGCGAGACAACACACAAGTTTGATCACCCATCAAAAATGATTGGAGCTTGGATGGGATGTGTTGCCACACCCACCATCCTCGCCTGACCTTGCGCTGTCAGACTTCCACTTGTTTCGCTCTCTTCAAAACTCCTTGCGTGGTACAACGGTCAAGTCAGATGAGGTTATAAATCAGCACCTTGTTCAGTTTTTCACAAATAAAGACAGGTCCTTCTATGAACAAGGAATTACGAAGCTCACTGAAAGATAGCAAAAGGTTATCAAACAAAACAGGCATTCATTAATTAATTGATCTTTGTTCTTTATATAAATACATCACCTTTGAAAAACATAGACAAAGTATGTCATGACTTTCCCGACAACCCAATAGTTCCCAAACATTCAAAATTGTGCATGGAGGGACCCAGTCACCCAGCAGCACTCTCAGGAAATTATCGTAGAACTAAACCAGCCAAGCAAGCAAAGACCTCACAGCAAGGACGGTTGCTGCTGTGCTGTGTATGAGAGGAAATGGAAAACAGCTTGTAGCCCTTTGACAGAGTGGGCGGTCTTGATCTCGAATGTCCATCCATGCTGGTGACTCCCAGCAGGGGGCCAGCAGGAGTGGGGACACAGCGGATGCCAACTGGGCACAAGGTCTGTGCCAAACCGTGTGCTCGACAGAGCTTTGTCTCCCTGAAGCCCAAGACCTGTGCCTTCTGAACGGGAAACGGAGGCTCAGGGGGCTCCCTGCCTCACCCCAGGTCACACCCAGCCTGATTCTTAGCAGTGACTCGGTATAACCAAGAAAGTGACCACAAGGTACAACATTTATGAATGTGGACGGGTGTCCACAGAACTCTAAGTGGAAAACAGCCGTTCACTCGAGTGTAAGCACAGACCCACCCAATTTGTGCAAATTGGCACATCTTTCAGCACAGAAATGGGTCGGGAGCTGGAGTGGGGGCAGGGTTCTTTCTCAGACTTTCTGGGTTTTCTGAACTTTTTTTTTGCGATAACTATGGATCAGTTTTATAACCAGAAGAAAACAATACAGCTATTTTAAGGCTGGAAATTGGCACCTCAGAGAAGGAGAGTGTGGCAGGCTGACATGAGTCACCAAACTTAGCTCCTGGCCCCAAGGGACCCAGAGTAACCAGACAGGCCAAGGACCACCCTGGCCTGGACTGATCAAGCCCTTACCAGGGGCAAGGACCACGGTGCCTCAGGGGAGGGGCCCAGGACGGAGGGGCCTGGGGGGGAACGGGGAGGGTGCCTGTGCCTGACGGCGATGAGACAGCTTTGTCACCAACATATGGGACATCCTTCTGCTCTCCCTGTCTGCTCTGCGCCAACAAAGAGAAATCAGCAGCCCACTCTTTAAAACACACTCACAAATGTAACACCTCTACCAGGGAGGGGTGGGGTGGGTGGGGAGTAAAGACACAGTGTCCCTTTTTGGAATAGCAACATGGGGAAGGCATGCAGACTGGCCTCTAAGGGAAGGCTCTGCCCAGCCGAGCAGTTGTCCTTCAGTTCCAGGCAGCGGCCTTGTTGAACGGCGGGGTCTGCGGCCATGGAAAGGGTCTGCATAAGCCCTCCACATGCCGTCGGGATGCGGCCCAGCAAGGAAATGAAGCACTGAGTTAACCAGCCTGGGTCAGGTGCTGGGGTCTGATGAGCGCTTTCTTCCTGTTTCACAAACACCCATCTCTGCTTCTGAGAAGAGCACACATCCCACCACCCGCCTTCCCGCCATCCCTCAGTGCAAGGTCTCACCCAACAATGAAGTGGGGAACACTTTTGACCTCATGTTTACCTGATGGATGGACAGGGCATGGAAAATGACGCAGGCGCCGCCGATGACGGCCCCAGACTGGCAGGTGAAGGCAGGAAATTAAACCAGCCTCCTTAGGTCATCCATCATTAGAACCTCATTCCCAGCCCCCTGCCCGGGTCAACCATCTCTCCCAG